CTTGAAAGCATCTTCAGAAACACCATTGATCTTTGTTGTCCCACATAGCTTATCAAAGCTATCAAGGTGGGCTAGGGGATCTTCCAAGGCAAGACCATGATACTTGTTGCTCTGGATCATGTTGATAATGCTTGACTTGATCTCATAGTTGGTGTTCTGGACATCTGGAGCTCTAATACCCATCCTACTCCCATGGATGTGAGGCTCATCATAAGCACCAATACTCCTTTGCGGGAGCTGGTTTTGGTTTGGTCTAAGGCTGGCAGCTCCTTGACCAATGCCTTCCTGAGGAAGGACAGCCTCATCTTGAGGAAAGTTGTTGTTTCTCTCCATCTCTAGCCTCAAATCTTCTAGTTGGGCTAGCCTCTCTTCTTCTCTTCTTCTTCTTATCAACTCTCTCTCAAGAGCTTGGATGTCTTGAGCTTCAGGTAAGAGGTTTGCAGCTCCTCTACTTCTTAGGTTCATACACCTGCAACCAATCCAAGGGATAAAAAGAAGAAGAAATCAGTAACTAAAGCAAGTAAATAAGATTTAGCCTCAAGCAATGACTAAATCTCAATGTCAATAAACAACTCAGAAATGGCAACGGCGCCAAATTTGATAAAGGTTTTTGTGCCTTAGAGCAAATCAATGTAGTAATTTAGATGTCAATCCAATCTTGAGTGCTAATGAACAAAGAGAATGTAAGTCATTGTATTAAGCTAAATGCAATCAAAGGAGTTGTTTTATAAGGTAACAAGTAACTAGCAATGTAAGTAAACAAGAGTAACTAAAGCTTTTTTCAAGGAGCTAGGAGAACTTATAGGTAAAGGTATTGACTTTGTATGATCAAGTTACTATCCGGGGTGAGTTTTCAAGCAATCATTCATATCCTATAGGTCTTGACACAATCCTAAGCTAGTCCTTGGTCAAGGTAAAAGCTCATTTGCTATCAATCTCTAAACACAAATGGTCATTGGTATAAATCAATCAAGCAATCATTGAGAACAAGTCTACTAACCATCTAAGTATTCCTAACATGAAGTGTCCTTGGTTAAGCAAGCAAAAAGCATTATTACTTTGGTTTAGGCATTTCATCATACACCTTGTGGGCACAAAATTCCTAATGATCTAGTTTAAAAGGATTAGGTCTAATCTAGCATTGGAAATAAGTAATAAGCATAGGACAAGAAGGATTTAACACTAATCACCCTAGATCATCACTTAATCACCCTAATCACCCTAACCCATAAGCTTAGAGGAGTCTACTCACTAATCTTCATGTTTAATCTTAAACCCATGATGGATAGAAGACTAATCATGATTAGAAGAAGAGATAGAATCAAATTACTCAAGAAACAAAGATTATATTAATCAAGGATTCAACTTTCTAATGTGTTGTTTTTGAGAGAAAAGAAGTTAAGTCCTAAAATTAGGTCTAAAATGTATTTATAGAAGCTTAAAACTCGAACCGGGTCGACCCAACAATCATGGGCTAACCCAACTAAATATGGGTCAACTTTGCTTCGAACAACGGCCGCGACCACCTTCATGCCGCGGTGGTAGGCCGCGGGATTCTCTGCCTCTTTCGATGAACACCGGCCACGCCCCTTCACGACTCGCGGTGGTAGCCCGCGAGATTTTCTGTATAAATGTGTCATGTGCGGCTGCGGCCACCCTTCAGCCGCGGTGGTTGCCCACGGGAATCTCTGCCCATCTGCAACATTCTTCACTCCTTTGAACGTTTTACAACTCATTTGGCTCCAAAACCTGGTCAACACATATGAATACAATATGTATCCTAAAGATGTCTAAACCTAAATCTTTATGATGATTGATGTACAAAATGAAATGCTAAATCTATGCAAATATGCATGATATCAATGGTTCCTGGTACTGATCGATATTGACGTGAAATGGTCTGGATGGATGTAGGTGTCTTACTGCGAACTCCGCGTGAGTCATGATCCTCACCGCATTGAACGATACAACTAGCTCCGCTGGTGTTGTCGATTGATGCTTAGATAAGCTCATCGATCGTTTCTCATTGAAGTCTATTAGTCAATGCTCGTAGTGTTGCGTCGATCGACACCATTGTGAACCGCCGAAACTCATGGAAATTTTGATTTCAAAGTCTCCTTTCTGAAGCTTCTTATTCTCAACCACATGCTAGAAATCATCATCTATGATGGCATTCACGTGGTGATTCATTGCTTCACCTCTTATCCCCCTTGCTAAGGCGTTTTGCCTCTTAACAACTTATACTGTCTAAACTACCTGGATCTACAGCTTCTTCACATGAGTGCTAAAAGTCTCAAACTTTTTGTTCAGGTTGTTGTAGACATAATCAATCTTCCCATTGAAATCCACTGTCAGCTTATGTTGGCCTTTAATAACCTGATCAAACATTGCTTCAATCTTGCTCTCTTAAGTCTGTGGTGGTGGATTCTGGTAAGATGTATTTCCATAGCTCTTGTTATTGTTGTTGTTGTAGGGTTTTTAGTATTGTGAACTCTGGTTGAAATTACTCCTTTGTCCATTCCCATAGGAATTCATATTTCCATACTGGTCTCAAGATCTCTGAAATCCAGTGCCACTCTATAACTTATTTTTACTTGTAGCGGAGCAATTTTAATTAAAAAATGTTAATAAATTTTTTTAACTTAGTATACCACCCTCTCTGTAACTTATTTTTACTTGTAGCAGAGCAATTTTACTATTCCCACCTCCCTAAAAAGAATTGAAAAGAAGAAGCAAATCCCCTATATATTAATTGAGAAACATTTGAAAAGATGTAACCTTAAGTTTGTATAAATTAAAAAATAACTTTTTCATACTTGGCAGCTCTCTATGCCTTCTAATTCAAGTTAGAAGAATTGTAGAGCACCTTATATAAACTATAGTCTAAAATCATACTCTCTAGCAATATAATATTTTGCAGACTATAGTTGGTCGCATATATCAAATAGTTATTGTTTCGCAGGCTTTAATTAAATAAAACACACAGAATTACCTAATGTGATTAAAATATATATATGGTAATTAATGATTTTAAACAATAAAGATTTGATAACAATCTGTATACTTTTTATCATTTTGTTTATTTTTTTATTATTAAAATAAATTACACAATTACATTAATCATTAATAAAAATCTATATTTTTTTATGTATGTTGTATTTCGAATTTTTCAAAACAAGTATAAATTATTAAAAATGTTAAAAGTTTCACATAAGCTTTTATGATCAAAGTTTATTTTTTTCATATATTAAGATACAATTATTATAAGAGCATATGAAGAAACAATTTTATTTTAATAGGTTTTATGTTAATATATATATATTCATATCGTTTACATTAAACTGTAAATCGTATGGAAATATGTACTAATATTTTGATATTTGCATTGAATATATATTGAAAAGTTAATATTTTAATTTTAAAATCTGTCATTGTTTTTTTTTAAATGATTATAAATTATTGAAACTACTAAACATCTCACATTAAAAAAAAATTGTTGGTGTAAGATTTTGTTATACAAATATGAAAATAAGCATAAAATCATATGAGTAGAAACCTCATTTAATAATATTAAAAGTCTGCTATATATCTATGCTAATATCATTTAAATTTAATTATATATCATATACTATAGATAAGATTAGTTGTTTTGATTTATTTACCCTAATTGTGAATAAACAAGAGTGGTCGTTAGATTTATATGTACACGCTAATTTATTACATTATAGTAACTGATTTCTTAGTTATTTAATATATATACGTATTATTTTATTATTTCATAATAAGCAGAAAAACATAAATAAATAATAATTATAAAATACTTATTCTGCAAAAAATGCAGATCTTAACTTAAGTATGTATCTCTTTAATTATTTTATATCTTAAGCATTATCTAAATCTAAGGCCAAAACAAACAAACGAAATGAAAATAAACTTCAAAATCAATATTTATATCGAGCAATAACCAAAATGCAAAAAACACAAAAAGAAAAATATTGAAGATAGATAAGATTGGCATGTGAATGTAAACTTCTCATAACCATAATTAATTTTTAAATTGCTAAACCATGATATAAAACTGAGCTGACATAGTTTTATTGTAACCATATAGACCCGAGATTTTTTTACCTAAACGTTAGGTTCTTCACGGTAAGTGATATTTTGACCTAAAATATTTTTAAAAACGAGATCAGTTCATCAGTAAACAAATTATGTAATTAACAAACAAGTTTAAAGATCAAAATATTAATTCAATCAATAATGTAAATTTAATTTTCAATATAATATTTTTTAAATAATTTTTATATAAATTTATTATGTGCAAAACGAAAGTCTTATCCTAGTTTATAGATAAACCACTATATTAAGAAAAAAAAATAGAAGTAAAACAAAATGTCTAAAAGGCGAGGGCCAGCCATATCCATGTCTCGTCCACTTTGCTAATATGTCCTTCTCTCTCATATCCTAATCTGCCAATAACATTTCAGAACAATCCTCAGTACATATATCATCATTATCCTTAATAGTTAAAAAAAAAAAAACAACAACTATAGTTATTACTTGTTAGCCATATTGATTTTTAAATTATAAGGGTTCATATCCATGCGTTGGAATCAGTTAACTATCTATTATACGACATGATTATTATAAATTGATCAGGATCGATTCTTTAGACCAAAAGTATAAGATTCTATTTGTTATTTTTGAACAGATACAAAAAAAAGGGAAATCTATAGATGAAGTGAATGGAAAACTTGTGAGTCACAGTTGATATGATTTCCATTGGATAGGGATAATATTTCAAGTGGGAGAAATACAACCCAAATACAAATGAAAATAAAACTTGTGGTGGAAAATAATTCTAAGAAATCTCGTCGTGTGAATTGAATCATTTTTCCTAGTGTCCAATCTTATTCGCCTCTCTCTCTCTCTATCAACTTCCAAGTTCTTTGTTTTTTTTCTCTACAAAATAATTTTAGATAATTAGTTTAGTTTAAAATTTTTATGTTCATATTTATACTTCTAACTGTAACGTAATATTAAATACAAAGAGGACTGCTAAATATTAATAAAAATAAAGCTTATATTGCTTTCTTGATGGTCATTATTTCAGTCCAAAATTAGGAAAAAAATCTTTTTGGGTGAATAATTTCCAAAAGTATAGTTGCATTTTGCCAGAGAGGCACTCACACAAAGATATTCGATAAGATAAGCTTTTTTTCTCATCAAAAATATACACCGAAGGTCTTGCAGAGATTGAATAAAATAAAATCAATTTGCTGCAGCCGCCAGAGCTTTAGTTTTGAGAGATGTCTAATTCATGTTCAGGTGGTGGTGGGTGTAGTATTGTATGGTTTAGAAGAGATCTAAGAGTTGAAGATAATCCAGCTTTAGCTGCAGCTGTAAGAGCTGGACCTGTAATTGCTGTGTTTGTATGGGCACCGGAGGAAGAAGGACACTATCAGCCTGGTAGGGTTTCAAGGTGGTGGCTCAAGAACAGTTTGGCTCAGCTTGATTCTTCTCTTAGAAGCCTTGGTACTTGTCTCATCACCAAGAGATCTACTGATAGTGTTGCTTCTCTTCTTGAAGTTGTTAAATCCACTGGTGCTTCTCAGATCTTCTTCAACCATTTGTATGGTCCGTGTTCCATCTCCCTTCCCTCTCTTGTTTTTTCTCTTTCAAATCTAGATTAACGGTTTGCTTAAAAGATTTCATTTTTGTGACTGAAATAATCTCTTGTTCTGTATTTGTAGACATCTTGTGTTGGGTTAGATGATCTGAAAATGACAAAAATAAAATAAAAACATAAATGCATCTGTTATGTTCCATATATGTATCAATTGAAGATATCATCCACTCTCAAAAGATAAAAAGTTTTGATATTTCAGATCCCTTATCCTTGGTCCGTGATCATCGTGCCAAGGACGCTCTGACAGCGGAAGGAATAGCAGTTAAATCATTCAACGCAGATTTGCTTTACGAGCCATGGGAAGTGACTGATGAATTAGGCCGTCCTTTCTCAATGTTTGCTGCCTTTTGGGAAAGATGCCTAGGCATGCCTTATGACCCTGAGTCTCCTCTTCTCCCACCCAAGAAGATCATTTCTGGTTTGTTTCACCACCACACACTTGTGACTATCTGAAATATATCCACTCTGAATAACTCTTTTTATGTTGCAGGTGATGTGTCCAAGTGTGTTGCGGATACATTAATCTTCGAAGATGAATCAGAGAAAGGAAGCAATGCACTTCTAGCTCGTGCCTGGTCCCCGGGTTGGAGTAATGCTGATAAGGCTCTCACAACCTTCATAAACGGACCATTGATTGAATACTCTAAGAACCGCAGAAAAGCTGATAGTGTCACAACCTCGTTCCTTTCTCCACACTTGCATTTTGGGGAAGTGAGTGTGAGAAAAGTTTTCCATCTTCTTCGGATCAAACAGGTTGCATGGGCAAACGAAGGAAACCAAGCCGGGGAAGAAAGCGTGAATCTTTTCCTCAAATCTATTGGTCTCAGGGAATACTCTAGATACATAAGCTTCAACCATCCCTACTCTCATGAAAGACCACTTCTTGGCCATCTTAAGTTCTTCCCTTGGGCTGTGGATGAGAACTATTTCAAGGCGTGGAGGCAAGGCCGGACCGGATATCCCCTAGTTGATGCTGGGATGAGAGAGTTATGGGCCACTGGTTGGTTGCACGACCGCATAAGAGTAGTTGTTTCAAGCTTCTTTGTTAAAGTGCTTCAATTGCCATGGAGATGGGGGATGAAGTATTTCTGGGACACACTTCTTGATGCAGATTTAGAAAGTGATGCTCTTGGTTGGCAATACATTACCGGTACTCTCCCGGATAGCCGGGAGTTTGATCGCATAGATAACCCTCAGTTTGAAGGATACAAGTTTGATCCAAACGGTGAATACGTAAGGAGATGGCTTCCAGAGCTTTCAAGACTCCCCACAGAGTGGATACATCATCCATGGAACGCACCTGAATCGGTGCTTCAAGCTGCTGGCATTGAGCTTGGGTCAAACTATCCTCGACCAATTGTTGGATTAGATGAAGCAAAAGCACGGCTTCATGAAGCACTTTCACAGATGTGGCAACTAGAAGCTGTCTCAAGAGCTGCAATAGAGAACGGATCCGAAGAAGGACTCGGAGATTCTGCTGAGTTTGAGGAAGCTCCTATCGAATTCCCTAGAGACATCACAATGGAAGAGACTGAACCAACCAGACTGAACCCAGTCAGGAGATATGAGGATCAAATGGTTCCTAGCATTACTGCTTCTTTGATCAGACCTGAAGAAGACGAAGAGTCGTCTCTGAATGTCAGAAATTCAGTAGGAGATAGCAGAGCAGAGGTTCCGAGGAACATGGTCAACACCAACCAAGCTCAGCAGCAGGCAAGAGCAGAACCGGTTTCAAACCAAGTCACTGCTATGATTCCAGAATTCAATATTAGAATTGTTGCAGAAAACACTGAAGTGTCGACAGCAGAATCTTCCAGCAGCGGAAGAAGAGAGAGGGACGGAGGCATAGTCCCCGAGTGGTCAGGGTACTCGGAACAATTTGGTAGTGAAGAGAATGGGATTGGAGGAGGAAGTACAACATCTAGCTACTTGCAGAACCACCATGAAATAGTTAACTGGAGACGGCTTTCACAAACCGGGTATGTAACTTTCAAATCTCACTTTTGTATAATGTTTCGAATCATCATGAATGTCTTTCATATTTTCAATGAAGTGATGTTTATTTTTTGTTTTTTTTTTGGTCGAACGGAGTGATGTTATACGTTCGATATTCCTATATTATCAAGTAACCTGATATGTGACATGTTTTTGCCCTTGGTAAAACTTGTTAAACCAAGTAAAATCGATTTTAATGTCGAAAAAAACTTGATGTGGTCTGTCTGACTTTACAGGTAACAAGACACAACTGAAGGTGCACAAGGAGAGGAACTTCATAAGGGCGGTACTCCTGTTAAACGTGGGTGGACTTGTAAACCGAGTGTACATTTGTTATGTTAATGTATTTCCGGTTATGGAGCTGGAGTGAAACTTTGTAGGAGCTTATCTGATGTACATTTTGTTATGTATCGGGTTTCATCTTGTAATAAAATACTGTATAGTATCTCGATTGTGGTAATAGATCAAATCTCATATTTGTTGGCTTTCAAGTTTTGGTTATAGTCAAAAACTCCTGCCAATTCATAATCTTTTAAAACATCTAGTATTGTTTATTTATGATTAACTAATAGTTTGTAAGTGTACGTAGAACATTTCTCTTTCAGTATATATATATAATCAGTTATTGAGATCACACACACCTGAAGATTAGGGAGCTCAAATCAGACAACCTCAACATCGTGCTATCATTTGGGTAATTAGAAGTTTGTCAACTCATTTTTTTGGAGATCACGGTATTGACACATATACGAGACACTAGTAAGGCTGCCTATACAAAACCATAAAATAGAAGATAACAAACATGGACGAGTTTTTGGAGATCATGCAATTGCAAATTCATTACATACACAATCACGAGTTGTTCGAGATACTACAAAAGAGTCAACGAGCATTTATGGTGACTGCTTAGATCATGTTTCAACGAAAAATCTCCATGAACCATTCTTGTTTATCTGCAACAAAGATATAACCTTTAACTGGAGTGCATGGGACAGAACGGTATCATTCACTCGGCAAACACAATTTGGGTGAATTGTGACAGGTGTGATTGTCATTCACTCGGCCACGCAGTTGGAGTGAATTTGTGACAAGTGTGATTGTCACTCGGCCAAGCAGTTTGAGTGAATTTGTGACAAGTGTGATTGTCATTCACTTTGCAAAGCTTGTGCCTTGCGGTGGAAGAAGCTGGTCTTGAGGAAAAAAGGCTTTTTCATACCCGAAGAGTACATAAAAGTTCAAAACATACCTAGATTCTCATGTTCGTTACCACATACACTACATAAACTCAATTTTTTCCATTTCATCATACCCCAACTATAAATATCCGACATAAACCAATTCTGACTGAAAATCTGTGTATCAACGTTAACTTTAACGGTTATCAAAACGTCATCACTTTGTATTTTTTTTTTAAATTAAAACAAACATGTCAACACAATATCGTTTTGACTGCCTCTGTTAATAGTGTTTGTTTCAAGTTTTTCCAGACAGTATAAAAGTATATAAGAAGTATATTTAAAATTTTATGAATGCTGAAATAAAAACCAAAAAAAAATCAGCAACACCTGATAGTTTTAAAAGCCAAAGCATAACACCAAAAAACAATGAACGTCCGACACCTAAAAGAGCCATATAGACAAATCATAACAATAAAAAATGCCAAACCTAATAAACATAATAAAATTAGATTACTCCACAACAGCACGTTTTAAGCCTGTGACTCTTGGCTAGGTCCTTCCCCCTGAGAAGAAGCTGTCTTTTTTGGCTTCCTAAAAACCGATGCACACATACGATGCTCTATCTTCCGCAATTCTTTTTTTTTTTTTTTTTTTTTTTTTTT